TTTGGTGGAAGGGGAAATTCATCTTTTGGATTTGCAGGGCCTGATGTGAGGCCGGTGACTGGTACTGCAATGTTGGGAACTGCGGAACTCATAACTTTTGCCAGCCGCTCCAGCTGCTTCAAGTGTGGTGCCTTCAAGGATGAATCCTCTAGTGGATATGATGGTGACATGTCTCGGGGAAGAGGTTTCGGGTTTGGCGGTGGCGGTGGCAGAGGCAGCCGCTCTAGCTGGATGTCCGGGGACTGGATTTGCACCAGGTAAAGTTTATATATGTATTTTGGGGGGGGGGGGGGGGTTGTTTATGCTTCAAACTTTGACTGTAAACATACTCCAATCCAAACTATGTGCCGAGTTTGGTATGGTAACCAAATTTATAAATAAACAATATTTAGTAAATTCAATTATTTGAAGTAAAGTTAAGACTCAATAAGTTCAAGTTATGATCGAAAGAAATTGAAATTTTCTCTAATTCATTTCATTGTAATCTCACTAGATTAAGTTATAAATGACACTAAAAAATATCACTTTGATACTCTAATCTTAACCGATTAGTTTACTAATCACATCTATTTTTCTGGTGCATTGCAATCTTGATTTAAAACAGGTCAGGGTGCAACGAGCACAACTTTGCTAGCAGGATGGAGTGTTTCAAATGCAATGCACCAAGGGACTCTGGTAGCAGATCTCCATATTAAATCCCCATGGATTCTCCATTTTTTGGGTAAAGTCATGGTCAGCTTCCTAAATGGTTCAGCCATATATATATATATATGCCCTATGGATTCGATTTCACCTTGCCCCATGAACTAGTGAAGTTTTCACATTAGACCCTACAATACTCGAATTATTTCACATTGTACCTATCGTAAATGCCAACTATCTTTTTGAACGAAAATTACTGACGTGTCATGGTAAAGTGAAAAAAATTACATAGTTCAGGGAAAAAAAAAATAATTTTTCATTAAATAAGTAATAAACGTTAATAATTGGGGTGATGCAAAACTAATCACATAGGTGAGGGCATAATATGAAAAACATGCTAGTTGAGGGGACAATATGAGAAAAAAAGTCATAGCTAAGGGGTCAGAGTATAATTTTTCATACATATATATGCTTTTAAATTTAATGAAATTGCATGGCTTCAATTTCAGGTACTACAGTCTAAGAGAGAATCAAGAAAGACCATCTGATATGATTTTCCAAGTTGAAGCTTTTTGCCCATGTTTTTTGTTTGGATATTTATCTTCTTTTATGGTGGGAGAGCCATAGAGAATCCTTCATTTTGTGAGCTTTCATTATTTTAGAAACAGCCATGTACTTCTGCTGCTTTCAATCTAATATCAGTGTGTGTTGACTGTTGAGAGAGTCTATTATTATTTCGGTGCTACGTGTTCTATATAAATGAGGCTTCATTACCAAACCTTCTTTTCCCTTCCCTTTTTGGTATTACAAAAATGGTGTTATGGACTTGCTTTAACTTTCAGAAAGATTCTCTCTCTCTGCCCAATTGTTATGACTTTTAATACGAGGGCCTGCTTTTTGTTGGAAAGTTTTGAATGGTCCAAGGAATTTTCAGCAGTTTTTTCTGCAATCATACAACTGTAAATCAAACTTTAAAGATGTTTTGTTCATGGACTGCACTGGGAGCTTTTGCTTAAACCTGTGCAATAACACTCATGGAAATCAATGGTTAAAATTTGGCTTACTAATCTTTAGGTTATGGTTTTGAACATGAGGGCAATCACTTTGTGTAATATCAAAGATTAGGTCTCCACCGAATCTATCCGTCTCGAACTCTTACTATGGGTACTAAACTGAGTGTTATTTAGATTCAACAAATATCTATTAGATTTATTATCTTTTGAGAAGTATCGGGACAATGTATTATGTTCTTTTCGCATTATAGGTCCCATGGATGTGCCCTTACAACATCAAAACCAGGATGCATATCCACAAATTTGGGATAAAACTGCAGTTCAGTGTGTCCTAAAATCAATCAATTTTTATTTTCTATTTACTCCAACATAAATCCTATGAACTATCATTGAAGCATAAAATGGGTATGTCCGACTTGATCATTCGACCTCCAGCAAGTTGAGACAGTTTAATTGTAAGGCTGACCTGACGCCAAAGGCGTTATAGCACAGTTGGTTAAGTACTAGTATGTCAAATAAGCAATGAGAAGAGCCAGGGGTCCAAAACCTTTCATTATATCAAAAAAGAAAAATTGTTTCTAATATCTCTTAAAAATAAATTAAGTTTATTTTTTAAAGCATGCTAAGAAATCTAGCATAATGAGGCAGATAAGAGTTGAAAGGCGAAAGAATGCTAGAATACCATAAAGGCGTAAAGCTTCACAGTTGTCATGGCTTTACTATTTTATGTGTATGATAGATATTAGCGCATAAACCCTTTCTTCTATATTTTTTGAGAAAAAGGAACTAATTTATAACCTATTTGAAGCTGCCACTGATATATATGAAAATGTTTTATAGTATGATGTATTTCTTTGTTGGTTGTAGCTCTCATCTAACAAACTTATCATGGAGGGACCATCTATGATTAGTTTAATGAACTTTCAATCTAAATAAGCTTACTTAACATAATTAATTCACAGCTCATGCTCAAGGCTCTGTCTCTTAGCTCACCAATACTCCCAGCTCATTCTTCCCATCAGCTGCCAACACTCCCAGCTCATACTCTCAGTTCTTCTATCCCCTCGGCTGCCAATGTTCCAACCTCATGTTCACAGCTCATTCTTCTTCTCAGCTCACGCCCTCAGCTTGCCTCTCAGCTCGTCTATCAGCTCATTTATTTTAGGCAGCTTGTTTAGTATATTCTTTATTTTATTACTATTATTTATACCATGCATGTATTTGGCCTTTTTCATTTTTACTCCCATTAATCTAATTAGATTGTATCGAGGTGTAAGGTACATATGTTCTCTTATCTAAGCGTAATTTAATTTTTTAATCAATAAAATTGTATCGCACTATCGATATTCCAACAAAAAAAAAAAACAATTAATATACAGTTCACATAGGATTCCAAGCTTTTAAGCTAATACCTTTTATGGGTTCCCTTCATTGACCTCATGGGCATGCTTACCTAAAGATTATTGGTCAAAAAGTTACCACACTCTCATTAGTGTCTCCAACTACATTCCATTACAAAGCTTTTAGCAAGATTCTTGTCTCCCTTTAAGCTTGTTCTATGTTATTTTAATTATGTGGTTTGTTGATAGGTTCGGTTAGGAACTAATATACCATTTTTATTTTATTTTATTATTTTTTCAATCAATGGTTACAAATTATCTAAATTAAAAATAAAGATTCAGATTAAATTTTGGGACGATATTTTTGTGATACCTTAGCTTTATCCTTGTTTGTTAAAATAAGGGGCTCATATTCAATATAAAGAGAGACTCACCAAGTTCAAGGACAATAGACCAGTTGTCAGAGTTAAGAGAGCCACACGTGCCTTCGAAATTTGCCCTAATTAGGGTTGTAACTGATGTAAACTAAGTTATAACCCTATTTTGGGTGTGGAATAAAAACAAGATAGCCATTCTTTCGTGGACGTAAGCAAATTGCCGAAACATGTAAAATTCTTATGTTATTGCTTGTAATTAATTATGTTTTTTTGATTGTTCATCATACGCACCAATCACAACATTGTTGATATTAGTCAAGTATCTCCCATGCTACTATGTCACTTGGGGTCCAAGTGCTGGAACAATTACCTAAAGTGATTTTTTTCGTACCATTTTGAGTACTAGATCATAGTAGAAAACAATTAAGTACCACCGTTTGCATGAGCACCACAGTTTGAAACTACCTTTACAATAATTGGGACCCTTTTTGGTTAGATTGTTGAGAAATTATTTTTCTAACTCCGTTGGTGCCTTTGATTGTTTGAGAACAACCTTTGTAAAATTCACCCTAGGGCTGTAAACTATTCGATATCAGTGCGTAATTAGTTAGATTTGGAACTACAATTCTTAATGCAACCCATCAATCTAACACAAAGTTATCAGGTTTGGGTTGTAATCATGCTAAATCACTGCACATTGCTTGATAAGTGGGTTGAAACTAACATGAAGATACACGATAAGAGCTCGGCTATGTACAATTATAAATTGAACTAATTTTGATATGATAAAAACTAGACACTATATAAATTTAACATGACAAAACCCAATTCTCAAGTTCTAGTTAGATCCTAGTTTTAGTTCAACGACATGTTTAGGTTAGATGCATCATTGCTCCACCGAAGTTTCGGGATGTTATATATCACTTTGGTCCATATGCTTTGTTTTTTTTTTTTTTGGGGTGAATTACACCCAAACTTTTTGAAATTTGTCACTTAATCACTCAGATCTTCTGACATTTGAAATATTATACACAGACCTCTTGAGGTTTGTACACGCGTAACACTTAAATTCCTGTTGTAAATATATCCGTTATATACTTAGACTCCCTTAAAGTTTGTGGGTATATAATACTTACACCTTTTAAGTTTAAAATATTATACTTAAACCAAAAGTATTCCAATCAAATATAAAATATTTTAAATTTTACAACCAAAATTCATGTTCTATTGTATCATTTATTGAAATAAAATTAAAATTAAAAATATAATTTTTTCTTAAAAAAATCTTAATTAATATACAATTATATTATCTATTGGAACAAAACTAAAAAATCAAACAATGAGTCTAAGTTATTCATGATAGAACATGAATTTTACATTCAAATTTATGTTCTATTATGTTATTTATTGAAATAAAATCAAAAATAAAAATTTATTTAAAAAAAAAAACATAGTTAGTATATATTTATAATGTCTATTAGAACAAAACTAAAAAATTAAATAAGGAATCAAACTGTAATGAACACAATATCTTTTAAATTTAATTGGGATAGTTTGGTATTCTAATTTGGTTGTTTAAACAATTAAATTAAATTCTAATAGACAATATAATTGTATACTAATTACAAATTGAATTTTTATTTTTAATTTTATTTTAATAAATGATGAAATAGAATATGAATTTTAATTGTAAAATTTAAAATACTTGATATTTTATATTTGATTAGAGTATTTTTGGCCCAAGTACAATATTTTAAATTTAAAAGATCTAAGTATTATATACCCACAAGCTTTAGGAGGTCTAAGTGTAATTTATTAACGGATATATTTACAACAAATGTCTAAGTGTCATGTGCGTACAAATCTCAGGGGGTCTGTGTGTAATATTTTAAATATTAGGGGGTCTGAGTGATTAAGTGACAAATATTAAAGAGTCTGAGTGTAATTCTTCCTTTTTTTTTTCAATTGAGTCCAAAATTTTACACGTTATTTTAATTGCATCAAATTGAAATGCTGATAATTAACCTAGACGAAAAGAATCATGTGACTAACATGTGATCTACACGACGGTGTATAAACTTTATTTTACATATATAAACTACAAAGTTGGTATTTGAAGTTAAATGTTATTGCCAATTTCGTTTTTAGTTCTTGTCGAATTATTAAATGCATACACATATGTGCACTTACTTGAAATCAAATGCATATTTCCGATAAAAAGAAGAGAGAAAATCATCACTAGTACGAAATATACAAATAATTTATCCAAGATCTAGGGTACTATCACAATTTGGGTGAGAACAAAAGCTTCAAAACCATAGCATCACTAGAGTTTATTACTAATCCTCT